TTCTCAGCATCAGGAATCATTAGGGAAATGTAAATTTAAAGCACAATGAGATATCATCTTATTGCAGTCAAAATGGCTTTTATTAAAAAAATCCCCAAACAATAGAGCTAGTATGGATGCAGAGAGAAAGGAATGTTGCTGGTGGGACTGCAAATTAGGAACGTTCATACTGGGGAAAACTAAAAATAGATCTACAATTTGATCCAGCAATACCCCTATTAGGTATTTACCCAAAGGAAAAGACTTTTCATCAAAAAGACATCTGCACTCAAATATTTATTGCAGAACAATTCACAATATTGCAATTCAACTCAGGTTCCTAAATATTCATGAGTAGGTTAATAAAATGTGGTATATGTACGTATACCACGAAGTACAACTCAGCCATAAAAAGAGGAATTAATACGTTTTGCAACAATCTGGATGGAACTGGAGACCATTCTCCTAGGTGAAGTATTTTCACATGCATTTAGTATTAAATTAGAATTAACTTATGAGCACACATGTGCAAAGAGGGAAATAAAACTCAATGGAAATCAAGCAGGGGGAGAGGGGAGGGAGGCAGGAGATAAAAACCTACCTGGCGAGTACAAACCGACACTGTTGGCATGGGGCATAGTTACAGCCAGGACTCAAGCTTATTACAAAATGATCCACGTAAACTAAAATATTTGTACTCCCTTAATATTCTGAAATGTCTTAAAAAAGAAACTGTGTTTAGAACGAATTTCTCTTTGAAATGTATATTTTCCTTTGCTTTAGCTAGGTAAATGTAGGCATAACCCAGGATTACATTAAAGTACATTTCAAAATGGAATTTTTCAAGTTACCCATATGTGGTCTGGGGCAAGTTTGTGATTTCATAATCTCTTCACTTTTTTTCAACTCTATGCAAAGCTCTAACATAAGTCACTTAAGCTAAATAAGTTTGCGTGTGTGTGTGTGTGTGTGTGTGTGTGTATCCCCCTCTTGCCATATCCCCCTCTTGCCAGGGTAGTTCTTCCTGCATTTCATATTGGCCAGCTTCTCTGACCTCCCACACTAATTATGGCCCAGTCTATATCTCTCATTGAAATCTACAGACATTATCAAATGCCTTCAGGTTTAGAACAAATTTTAGAAATGTCTTAGCCCTGGGGTATCAAGAAATGGTACCAAAGGACAAGCTTCTGTCCTTATTTCTGGCCAAAGATTATTTTAATAAATTTACAATAGCCAAAGAGTTGTTTCCTTTAAAAGCTTTCTGAAAATATTTTTATCAGAATATTTAGATGTTCTGTCCTGGGACAATTCTCTTTACCCATTTAGCTCATACTGTTGCCTGATGATGATTTTTATTAGTTTAAACATTAAGCAATGTTTAATTGTATAGATTATCTCAAGAAAAGTCTGTTTTTTTCATGTAAAAATAATTTTTGATAAATCCTTTAGATTTTTCTAGAAATGAAAAGTAATAGCTGATTTCTTATATCCCTCTATTCTAGCGGTGCTCAACCTGTGGGACATGACCCACAGGAACTGTACTAAAGGATCAGGGCATGAAGAAGGTTGAGAACCACTGCTCTATTCCTATGTGAAGGAATAGAATACTTGGCTCAGGATTGTATTTAAACACATTACTGAAATCTAACAACCAACATTTCAGAATGATCTCTAAAAATATTTTATCTATTAGCTGATAACTTCTCTTGCAGGTACTAGGATAATCTTGGCATTTACCTGTTGAAAGACTCATTTTAATGGCACATTAAGCTTGAACTTTAGTGAAATGCAAAACCTTGCTAATGGTTAATAAATAGGAAAACCCGTTATTTCCTTTATAATGGAAATTATTGAATGGATAAATTTTTTCTTACAAATGTCCTGTTTATAGGCACACACAATGAGTACAAATGTAAATTTTTGAGGGAAGAAAGGACAGTAAATTTTCTTATTTGCGTATTCATAATGCAATGAGGACACATACAATATGTAAATCTGAAAGCCAATTACAAAACATTGTTGCTATGACTAAAGAGATAATATCTGCTGATTAACTTTTGAGGTTGTTATGAGACTCAAGAGAGTTATTATAAGTGAAAATGCTATAAAAAGAGGCCAGGTACCATGGCTCATGCCTGTGATCCCAGCACTCTGGGAAGCGGAGGTGGGTGGATTGTTTGAGCTCATGAGTTTGACACCAGCCTGAACAAGAGTGAGACCCAACTCTAAAAATAGCTGGGTGCTTTGGAGGGCACCTGTCTAGTCCCAGCTACTGGAGAGGCTGAGGCAAAAGAATCACTTAAACCCAACAGTTTCAGGTTGCTGTGAGCTGTGACACCAAGGCACACTACCAAGGGTGACAAAGTGAGCCTCTGTCTCAAAAAAAAAAAAAAAAAAATGCTATAAAAAGTTTGAGACGCTTTTACTAAAAATATCATTATTAGTAGGAACAAGGCTTTCATTCCATCTTAGGAAAACAGATACAAGCTTCAGCATTATCTCCCAGAAATATTAAAGATTGTTACACATAAGACTAGCCCTTGGTTGGTAGAGGATTAAGTGTTATCACAGCACTAAGAAGTTGTGGTTTCAGTTAAACAAAAATTTTGAGCGAATTCTTTTCAAGAAAACAATGATTTTTTTAAAAAGATAAAAGCTACCTGAACATTCTCTGATGCCATTTTACATGATATATTTCATTTAATACATTCAATTTCAATAGATAAAATTCAGCAGATAATCAAAGTTGATATCAAGAATGGTATGTCAGGCCGACGGCGTGCAGCTGTGGTCTGGTCTGCTGGGATTGGCATTTTATCTCTGTGGTCTTCCTCTCAAAATATACAACCCTAGTCTAATTAGGAGGAAAACATCAGCAAAAATCCCAATTGAAAGACATTCTACAGAGTATCTGACTGATACGCCTTAAAACCATCAAAAACAAGGAAAATCTGAGAAGCTAAGACTCAAGAGGACCTAAGATGTGATGACTAAATATACTATGGTATCGTGAACAGGGTGCCGGGACAGAAAGAAAAGATGTTAGAGAAAAACTAATGAAATTGAAACAAAGTATGGACTTCAGTTAATAATAGTGTATTGCTCTTCCTTCTTAAATTGCAACAGCTGTATCATGCTAATGTAATATATTAATAATATAATGTAAGATATTAATAACAGGGGAAATTGGCTGTGACACATATTAGAATGCTATACTAGGTGGAACCTGTGGCTCAAAAGGGTAGGGCCAGCCCCATATGTAGGGTGACCAGATTTTTACATTTGTAAAGCGGGACAACATGGGGGGGGGGCGGGGCAGGGGACCAGGCAGGGCAGGGCCTGACAACAATGCAAACTTTGATAAGCAGTTCTCGATAATCACTTCTCATCAATTATTTGTTATTATTACAGTTTAATATTATAAAATTAACAAAAATAATATAAAACTCATATTCTGGCGAAATAACCACATGGCAGCCGAAAACCGTATATTCCCTTCCTGTTCTCCTGCCCGTTGGTGCATTCTTTCCAAAAATTGGGACTTTTTAAAAATGCTGCGGGACGAGGGACAAATTGTTGAAAAGCAGGACTGTCCCGCCAAAAGCGGGACGTCTGGTCACCCTACCCATATGCCAAAGGTGGCGGGTTCAAACCCAGCCCTGCCCCCCCCAAAAAAACAGAATGCTATACTATCTTAGAAACATTCCTGTAAATGTAAAGCTACTGTAAAGTAAAATGTTTTTTTAAAAGATATTATCTAATACTAGGAATCCTATTATTTTGCTGCGAACAACTAGCTGGTTTTTTTTTTTTTTTTTTCTAATTTCAGAGAATTTACTGGCTAGTTCCTATTTCTTAACTCAGTTGTCATTGACGAATTTGAGTGCTTTGGTAAGTTTTAAAAATACCTCCTGATCATTTGGGGTAACCTCCATTAATATATATAACTAAACTTAGCTATGGGATGAAACTCCGTATGTGCGCTGAAATGTTTTTCCTCTTTCCAGTCTCCAGCGTTCTATAGATGTAACTTTGTCTGAGTAACTCCATATTAAGACATATTGAAATGGAGCAGAACATTTTGACCTGATTCTGTCAGCCCAGCTTCAACCGTGTCTTAGCTCCTGCTTTCCCAACAGAAAAGCATACAGTTCTCAGGCAGTTCCAAGGCCCCACTAATCTCTTTCCAACTCTACAAAAGCTTTGCTTCTATTTTATCAAGTACTTTATAACTTCTGTCTTCTAAAGTTCCAGTTCTCAGTATTAACCAGGTAAGTTCTTGTCGAGGCTTGATAGAACTCTAGACTATATCTTACACATAATAGAAAACTTAAATATTTCTATATTTTCTATCCAGGGATAAGGTTAGAGAAATTAAAGGAAAGAACACTCTGAAGTAAAAGCCAGGCAATTAAAGGGAAGAAATTTCAAATCGTATTCGAAAAGATAATGTATTCAGATCTTAACATATGAGACATCCTTTTACTTCCTGCATTAATTTGCAAAAAGCAAAATATTTTCACAAGAGTTTTTTTTTTTTTTTTTCCTTGCAAACTACTTGGAAGCCTTTGCACTGAGAACTTTTTGTGCAATGATGGTTCTCAAGATTCCTCCAGAAAAGGAATTTATAGTGTGTATTTTAATTATTTTCACTAAAAGAAGAATTTATTAAAGTACTAGTGTAGGGCTTCTCCAGCTCAGGATTATTCACGTTTTGGGTTAGATAAGTCTTTGTTAGACGGGGAATACCCTGTTCATTGTTAAGAAGCTCAGCAGCAGCCCTGCTCTCTAAACATCCTAGTTCCTGCCTTCCACCCAACAGATGGAGGTAGCAAGCCTTCCTCGGTTAGGACAACCAAAAAATGTCTCCAGATAGTGTCAGGTATCCCTAGAGGACAAAATCTTGAGAACCAGTGAGCGATGTAGTATAACTACCAGAATTCAATTTTATTGAAACTGTTGATTTGGCCTGTGAGAAACGATATATTCCAGCCCCAGCACACAGGAAGGACACTTACATTATTCTCTTCGTTAGATGAGTCCTCTCTGTCTCTTTGGGTGCCATGCGACTTGCAAAAGTGGTGAGAAATAGATCACGAGAAGAGCTGTAGAGCTGGAAGGAAGTCTGTGGTATTGGTGTTTATGATCTCTTTGCATTGCCTGAAAACTTTTCCCTTAGAGAAATATTGACAGGTGTTAGTAGGAGCTATGGGAATTGGGGGGGCTTGTTTTTGTTCTGTTCTGTTTTGTTTTTGACAATAAACCTCTTCATCAGCCACTTCTACTCCCACTCCCTCAAAATCATACTTGGAACAACTCTGGCAACCGCTGTTAATAACTGAGGGTGGGAGCCGGCACCCTGTGGCCTGGAGGAACCCACCGCTCCCATTATTTCACACAGGGTCTGGTGCTGCCTTCTTGTTGCAAGAGCAGATTTCTGTGTTGGTGACAGATCATGGCCCCGAACACCTAAAATATCTACCATTTGTCACTTTGTAGAAACAAATTGTCAACCTTGTTTTAAAGCCTAAAACCTGCAGATCATTTAAAATGCCTAAGCTAAACCCTTTATCCTATATATTGCATCAGCTTAGCCATAATAGCAGCAGTCACACTGGTAAAAGTGCCTGATTCTTTAAAATTCATGCCAGGGGCAGGATTAATTTAGACACAGTCCTTATCCTCCTGGGAATAAGCAGCTTGCTACTTCACAGCCAAAGACGATTTTTACACCTGCGCTTATTCTGTCCCTGCCTGGGCTCCGCAACTCTAATGCCCTTTACCTTTTGTTGTGAGTTTTCTTCCCTTGGGATCCTTCCTGCCATGTGTGACAATGGAGAGAAGATGAGGCAACATAGGAGCCAGTTTACTGGGTCCATTTACTGAGCTTTTAGGAAGGACTGGGTGTTGCAGAGAAGTGACAATTTCCGCATAGGGAATAGTAGTCAAAACAACTTCTTTATTTTTCTGGATGCCTTGTTTAGCTTCTGAGCTAAAACATTCTTCTTCCTTCTCCAGGATCAGTGTCCCTCTTATGTTTTTTTTCCATTGCTTTGTTTTGTTCAAAAGGAGAGAAGCCATTTCTGGAAAAGTTTGTCTAGCAAGACTAGAAAATTTTAGACTGAAAATTAAATCAAGTGTGTCTTTTTTTCTAATGATTGTGGCTCTGAGATGGTCTTCCTATCAGCATGGTTATATTAATCTTTCTTCTCAGGCTTATGCTCCTCTCTGCGACTGGGAACACTCTAAAGTGCTTTATTCAAAACAAGCAAGGCCTGGAAGACAAAACGTGTCTATGGTACTTGATCTCCTGGTCATGTGAATTGTGATGAAAGTGACTCAGAAAGGGACATAGAGACACACACCCAACTGCAGTTTACTCTACGGATTACACCAACAAGCTATTTTCATTGTATTAGGAATAGTCCTTGTGAGGATATGGTGACCAGCTCGTGTTCCTCATTTGCGTCCACTTTTGGAAACGACTAAATTGGAAATATTAATGCTGGACACAGTATTTCAGGCAACTCTGCATGCAATGTTCATTTTCAGGTGTACTTTTATTTTTTCCTGTGGACCAATGAATTGCTGAGAGTGCTATTCCAGCACTGGTGCTTGGGGAGTATTTACGTGGTGGAATATCATGTTTGAACTGCTGTCGCCCTTCCTCAGCTGTCCTGGCTTCACCTTTGGGTGCCAAAGGGAAATCATTCTGCAGGGCAGAGGAAATGAGGGCCTCACACACAAAGACTCATGGGCTCTGTGAAACGTGGCTCCAGCTTTTTGAGGCAGGATTTCATTCACATTTTGAACATATCCTTATATCTTTGCTAAATATAAACCGAAATCTGCTTTGCATTTCATTACAGTAAGGTTGAATCTATATAAAATACAGAAACTCTAGCTATTAATCAAAGGAATCTTCAGTTGCCATCAACATCTAAATAGACTCTAGGTTTGAAGTTAAAGAAAGTACCTATCAGGTGGTTTCTACTTTGATGTACAGCTCACTTGTTAGTAAACATGGACCTTCTCAGTGATGTTAAAAACCTTATGATAATTTTCAGAAAATGACTTAGAGGAGGAAGGGGAGAACATAATGAGCTTGAGGGAGGAGGTGAAGAAATGTAAAAAAGCATGGGAGGGGTTTTGAAAGTGCAGAGCAGGCTTTTGGAAAGATTATCTTGGAACAACACTGAAGGAGGGGGAGAGGGAAGAGAAGATAAGCTCGAAGAGAGAAGCTCATTCATAACCCATGCTCCAAGATGTTTATTTCCTCTGGAAAAAAGGCCAAGCTCTTATCCTGTATTTAATTCATCATTTGCCATCGAATTACTGAATTTTCTACCTCTTCCTTTTAAACACCTCCCTCTGAGCCTTGGTTTCATTTGGTCGATCTCCTCTTTCCCTTTTATTCAACAAATTCCTTCTCAAGCTCCCTATTATTTATGAAACCTTTCTAATTGAATCCAGACCTTGTCTTATTCCTCTCTAAACCTATGTACCCACTCATTTTACAACCCCTCCTATATTGCCTTTAGACATCTGTTTAATTTGGTCTCTTGAACTAGATTTGAATTTTTTTAGTACATTCATGATTCCTCTCCCTGGAAAAACAAGAACTCTATCTGTGTGACTATTATAGCATACCTTCTACACTTGTGCACATGGAATAGAGCAAAAGTATTTGGAGAGAAAGAGATGTTTTATTTCATGATATTATAGTCACTTCTTGGAAAATCGGATTTTATAGTCACGGTTTCCAGTCAGCTTGTAACATGAAATTCAAAAGGTCAGTACTACATGACACTCTTTTCAAGAGGTGTTATAGGAGCTGGAGTTGTGGTCCTCAAAGGATATGTCTCCCTGCAACCTCAGAATATAACTTTATTTGGAATTTAAATTTAAAGTTTCAAAGAGAAGGGAGCTATACAAGAAAAGAACAGTAGATGTCTTAATGAGGCCCCTCCTTGACACTTAGCTAAATAGTAAGATGCGTGTGCATTGGGTGAAACCCCATAAGAATAGGCCAAAATTGGCTGGGAGCTGTGATGTGAGTAGTTCCAAGAGCTCACAGAGGGCTGGGATATTTTGAGGTAATTTCAGCCTAAGTAGGGAGTCCTCACTGTCCACTCTCAAAGTTTAGTAGAGAGATCAAAAAAGCTATGTCTTAGTTCCAGAGCTAAATTAGATCTAAAGTTGTTGCAGGGATATTCAAAGAAATAAAAGTTAAAACAAGCATCATAAAAGAGCAAGATGATCTACCATCAACTGCCTCCCAGAACAAAGGCCACTTCTCCTAAAAAAAGAAAATAATTACTGACCTTAGGTAAAGTTCACACATCCAGTCAAAAATTATTCGACATGTGAATAAATAGGAAAATGAGACATATAAACAGGAGAAAAATTATGCAGTAGAAAAAGAATAAGAAATGGTAAAGATGACGGAATTAGAAGACAAGACAGCCATTACGATTTTAATTACCTAAAGGAAAACATAGTGTGTGTAAATAGAAAACATTTAAAAAAGGAGGAAATGGAGTATCTACTGATGAAAAATAGAGTATCTGGACTTGAAAATACATTTACACATTCCCCCCCCACCCCGCCCCAGACAAGCAGCACTATGCTCAAAGACAATTAACTATAACTCATAAAAAGAAACAATTTCCAAAACACTGGATATCCATAGTAGAGATTTCTTCTTGCTAATATATAGAGAAGTCTGGCCTTCTTTTTATTGTTCCACAAACTAATAAATGGCAGACCTGGTTTCTAGTCTTGAATTCACGAACCAGAAATATCACTTTTGTAGGCAAATGCCATTACAGAGACCACTTCTGGTTTTAAGATTGTGTTCTACTTTTGATGTTTAGGGTTGAAACTACTCTGGGGTCATATAAATATTAATGGGAGAAAAACTGTGCCATACAAAGATACTGGAGAAATCTCTAAAATAATGATTTTTCCCTTTCATTTTTGGATTAGCTAAAGAGATAGGGCAATTATTTCTTCAGTCATCTCTGTTTGAATGATAGGGTGGAGTAGGCAGAGAATGAATCAATTATCCTCAAGGCCAAATAATCCTCTGGGATTGAAAGAGAGGTGTTTTCTCTTCCAGGCACAAGCATGTGCACTTAGTTATAAAAAATAAAATGTACAAATTAATGAAAAATTTTCAGCACATCTGGAAAAGATTTTCAGATGATGAGTTGCAGGAGCACACCACTTGAGAACCACTGACACAATAAATTATATAAATAGGACAAAGAGCAGGATTTAAGCAAATTGTCAATGTTCATTGATTTTGCTTCTGCAGTATGTATCATGCCCAAAGAGAAATAAAAATTAATTAAAGCAATATTATTGAGAGATGTTGCTTATTTGGTTTTTTGTCCAACCTAGGAATACAAACTATAATTGCATTTTTATCAGTTGATGCCCATAGAAATTATATCTCTCTCCTAGGACAACGTGCCTGGGCTCTTTAACCCTGGACTTTAAGAAAGATATTATAGATATAAACAAAATTATCAGACACCACATGTCTTTGAAGGCAATTTCTTACAACGTGAGTTGAAATAGAGTTGTTTCAGCACAGTGGTTTTAGCCACACATGAGCCTCCTCAGATTTAGAAAGTCATGTTCTACCCTTTTCCTTAATATATTAGGACTGTGTTTGGTTTCAAGAAACCCCAACAGCGAGTTAAATCAGTAAGCGGTTATGAGTGTCATGCAACAGTCCCATGAATAGGAAAATCAGGATCAGTACTGTGGCTCAACATCTTCAAGCTCCAGATTTCTTCTATTGAAACCAACCCTAAAATGTGGCTTTAATCCTCATAATTGCAAGATGATTATTCCTCCAGGCATTCATATGGAAGGCAGGCAAAGAGATTAAGGGACCATCCCAGTGAGGTTATCTTATAAGGCTTTCTTGGCAGCCCAACTGGTGGCTTCCACTCATTTCATTATTGGCCAGAATTGAATCATATGACTATCTCTAGTTGCACTGGGTACTGCCAAATGCAAGGTTTTTAGCTCGATCCATTTCTACTTAACTGACACAGTTGTTAAGAAAAGGGAAGTCGATACTGAGAAGGCATTAGGCAGCCTCTGTCACTGCTAGAACAGTCATAGATAAGATTTGATATATCAACACTAACCTTAAAATTATACGAGGTTGGACAATTACATTTTTTAACTCATCCTAGAAAAAAATAAGTGCTACATACCTCATTGTTGACTATCACTATGGTCAGCAGATGGCCAAGGGAAGTACATGAAGGTGACTTGTAGTGATATTCAGCAATATAGCACTTTTTCTAGGATGAGTTCACTAACATAAATTTCTGGCCCTGTACACACACAGTCCACTTCATTTACCTCACTTATGACCACCCTCAGTATCCTCCGTAGATCCATTCTCCGAAAGCATGGGCATTTCTTTTTTGAGGAATGTAAGAAGTGTTCTTTGCCCAAGTTGAACCTTGCTTTTAAATCAAGTACTGAGAAGTTCTGAGGTTCAAGTAATTTATTTTCATCAGAATTGAAATTAAAAGACTTCCTGAAAGTCTTAATGAGACTTGCAGTGTTTTCCCAAAATTAATCAAAGGTTAATATTCAATTGAATGTATTTTAGTCAATAAACATTTATTGATTATCAAGATGTGCCAGGCTCTGTGCTAAAGTTACCAAGATGAATAAGACTAACATCTCCCTTCAGGAACAGCTGATATAAAAGATAGACATAAAAACACATAACTACACTAGGGTAAGATAGGACATGAATTAGAGGACAGCACAGTGGAAGAATACTTAAATCATTTAAGGAGAGGGGTTCAGAGAAGATGTCTCCAAAGACTTGCTATCCAAGTTGGGTGACTCGAGCCAGGACTAGCCTTCATGTTTGTTGATTCTCAGTCTAGTGCACTTTCCATAATCTAAAAATGGAAATGAAAAGGTGGCGATGAGAAACACGCCTTCAGTGATAATTTTAAATCTATTTATAAATAAGAATACAACCCAAAGTATTGGTCTGAATTTTAATGAAATATCTGGACTACTGCTTCCGCTCACCCATAAATGCATTCTGTTATTTTCACAGTTTATTGTAAGTTCCATAAATATGGAACATCTCACAATATGCTTGTGCTGACTGAAAAAACAAACAGCAAAGTATCTAATAATCCAAGAAACTGTTGCTTACAAAACATGCTTTACATTTTTATGATATTGAGAATGACTTAAATTTATATTTGTTTTCTGTACTAAATATTTGAAAAAGGAGAGATTAAATAGCTTTAAATCAATTCTACTATAAAATATGGTCTAAATTATAAGTTGTTGTGGTAAGTCTAGTTGATTCTCTTGATGATCAAGTTACACATTCTTAAAGGTATATATGTCATATACATCATTTAGGTTGGGGGTTGGAGTTCATGGCAGTTCTTTCTTTTTTTTTAATTTTTTGAGACAGAGTGTCACTCTGTCTCACTCTGGGTAGAGTACCACGGCATCACAGCTAACAGCAACCTCAGACTCTTGGGCTCAAGCAATCTTCTTTCCTCAGCTTCCTAAGTAGCTGTGACTACAGGCGGCCACCACAAGGTCTGGCTAATTTTTCTAGTTTTTGTATAGACAGGGTCTGGGGTTTCTCAGGCTGGTCTCAAACTCCTGAGCTTAAGCAATCCACCCACCTAAGCCTCCCACAGTTCTGGGATTACAGGTGTGAGCTACCATGCCCAGCCCTCATGACAGTTCTTAATGATTGTGAATTTGAATATGTTTCACCCATATTCTCCCAATAACTCCCCATTTTTATCACCACCTTTACCTCAAGACACTATCTACCATACTCAACACTGTTCTGCTAAAAAAATTTGGAACATTTAGAAAAATGCATCCAAGAACTTTCAAATATCCTATTGCTTTAATTAATATTCCTGTAATGTTGAACAAGCTATTTTATGTGGATTTCATCAAGCTAAGACATTTGCCTGATGTCACAAACCACCACAATTTCAGTGCTATTTCCAATGCTTCCCATAAATTCCCACTAGATCAGTGGGGCAGAAAAAGGGTGTGGTACACAATATGGTACACAATTACCATGAATTTTCAATTGTTGATACAGGTATTTTTCTGTGTTATCTCACCTAAAAATTAACAATTCTACTAAGTATTCCTTAAAATGACTTGCAACTCAAATAACTCAAATAATCTTTCATTCCATAAGTCTGTAATTGCTGAGTTTCCTTTTTCAACTAGGATCCTCAAAAGTTTCTAGTTAATAATCCAGGGGTGGTTATTAGCCACCTCCTTATGTTTCCAGCACTCTGCCAAAAAGAAGGCAAACAAAATAGGTTTCAGTTTGTGACTTTTAGGAAATTCCAGTTTATTCAAAGTTAATCACGATGGCAGGGACTCTGTTATCAATAAACAAATATAGACATATACATAATGCGTAAGTGAATTTTCAAGACTAGAGAACATGCGATGAGTTCTCCAGGGCTCATATGCTCTGTGAGAGAGCAAATGTAGAAAAAATGATACACAGTGGAAAAATGGAAAAAGAGCAAAATTCTATGTCCAAATACCCAAAGGGCATGCAAACAAGGATTGCAGATACTGCTGGGAAAGTTAGTAACTCCTGGTAGGTACTCATAGCTATCACAGAGAAAAGTCATATCTCTTTAGGCTGATTATATCAAGATTGTTTACATAAATTTTGATCTATTTACAAATTTTAGAACATTTCCCACAAATCGGTTTTTCCTACAGGTATGAATGTAATGACATTCCAGATTGATCAATTTATAAACATGATGGTAATATCTTTTGAGTCGGTGAAGCTAGAAGAGAAGTAGGACCCTCAAAAAAGCCAAATAATGTACAGTCTCAAAGAGAACAGATGGAGAAAGAGACTACTAGCTACAATAGATGTAAGTTTCTGGGCTTGGGTACATGTGAACTATATGAAATCTCTTTAGTATAGCAATTAAAGTTATGTTAAATTTGAGTAAATACTTGAAGTTTTATGAGCACTATTTACTCTTTTCCTTTCCACTATGGGTTTAAGAATTCCCTACCGATTCTCTTTATCTTCAAATTAATAGCCTTAAAGTATATTTTTAGAGACAGATTCTTCATTTAGACAAACCTTGCCTGACAATTATTTACAAGTGGGTATCTTTTTTAGGATGTTGTTGCCTTAGCTATTGTATTGGCTAAAATTTCCTAAGCACTTTCATTACATCAGGCAGAAAAAGAAACTGAGGTACAGAGAGTTTGCCCAAGGTCCCCAATACAGTAAAGTACGAGTCAGGATCTGAGCTCAGGGAGTCTGGCTCCTGAGCTGGTGCTCCAAGTCATTAATAGTATTTGTAGGTCTACTGCTTGTGATGCAAATGGATTTAGCCTATGTGATGATTTTCTGTGACATGTGCATAACTCTGGAATGATAACCACTTGCTCTGCAATATTCATGATTTTGTATTTTATAATGTCATCAGTTGTGGTCTGCCTAGGAAATAGAATTTTACTACTAGCCTTACATCAGTATGAAGGTAAATCTAAAAGAAGAAAACATATATGTGACAATTTTAAAATTGCACACTGGAGGGGACAGTGATGGCAGCTGAATTAATGAACATCCGACTGGTTTGACTTTTCCAGGAAAATATTGGAGAAGTGAGATCTTGACAGTAGTGGCCCATGCAAGGTGGGCATGAAATTGTTAAATCATACACCCAGAAGATTAAGATGGGTTCCCTAGAGAACTAAAAACACTAGTGAAACAGAAATTTAAAAGGCATTAGGAAAATATGGTAAAGTAACGAGATAGAAGGGCTTCGTAAGTCCTGAACCCTGAACCAAGATGTTCTCCAAGCTTGAGCCTCCTTGCCAATGGTTTGAAAACTTTATTGTGAAAGAGAATCATCTTGTTAAAATAGCAATGGTTCTGAACTTTCCTAATGCTGAGGCCCTTTAATACAGTTCCTGTGGGTCACGACACACAGGTTGAGAACTGCTGAATACAGGTTTCTGGGTGCCATGCCTAGATTTTCTGATTTGATGGGCCTGAGTTTGGACTAGAGAATTTATATTACTTATAATCTCCCAGGTAATGATACTTACCGGTCCAGGGATCACACTTTGACAGTCATTGGTCTACAGTAATTGCTCTCGATACATATGCAATGCTCAGATTCTTTAAAGTGTCCGCATTATCAACATTATGCTTTTATAATTAGGAACAGAGCATATTCCAGAGAGAAAGGCTGAAATTCCTAAATCCACCTGAACAATTGCAGAAAAAGTGAAAAGAAATCTGCTCCAAATGCATTATCAGCTCCAGAAGCACCAACAACTTGTCTCTTGAGGACTGCTCAACCAAGGGAATTAAAGGATACTAAGAAGACCACAACTCCATCAACTCTGACCACCCTGTCCACTCTCTTGTGGCCAGCACTGTCTTTAATAAACCCGTGAGAGAGACAGACCACCATTCCCATATTGCCAGCATTACAGATAAATCTATACATTAGTTATAATTAGAGAAAGATTTGGACTTTATCCTCCATGTGGTGGTGAGTCCTGGAGATTTTTAAGGTGGAACATAACACATTAGATCTGAATTTTAGGAAATAAAAAATATGTATCCATCTAGGAGTCTTTCAGTTGAAAATGATATTGAATTCAGACTAGCTTAAGCAAAATGGGAAGTCTACAATCTCATATACCAGAAGTTGGAAAATTTATTCAAAGTTTTATCAACATGCTCAAAAGTATCATCAAGAATTGGCCAACTTCCCCCGAGACTGACTGCCACTTTCAGGCTCTGTTATCAGCTTGGCCCAATCCTTGTGCCTGGAGGGGTGAGCTACTCTCCCTGACTGCAATAGGTCAGGTGTCCTTTCCTTTCGCTGAACTTAGGCCAGTTCCCCCTGAATCCTGTGGAGAAAAGTGAGAGTGGGGAAGATAGAGTCCATGGGGAATGGAGAGGAGAGAGAAGGGGAACAAGAGATGCTACCACCACAGTTCCTGCAAGAAGCATGTTTAACTCTTTGATGATCCAGTGCAGAGCCATGGTGCTTTGACCATGGGCCTCCTATGATTGATCACTTGAACATTGCTGCTACTGCTAGAACACTGCTAGAGATCTACTGCCGTGTTAGGAGTTACAGCCCCTTAGTTTCAGGTGACTAGAGGGCTGGGTTGGTCACAGCCCCAGAGTCAGTCACCTTAGACCATGAACAACGTTGTCCAGAGTCCCAATTCTCTTCTAGTTTACCACTTGTCTTAGACTATTTAGACTGCTATAATATCATAGACTGGAAGACTTATAAACAACACAATTTTTTTCATTTTCCCTAGTTCCAGAGGTCAGAAAGTCCAAGATGAAGGCTCTATAGAGTCCAAGGCTGGTAAAGGCTGACTTCTCTAAAGACAGCTCTCTTCTGACTGTAGCCTCATCTGCTGGAAGGAGCAAGAGGTGTTTTTCAGGTCTTCTTCATAAGGGCACTATTCCATCTGTGAGGGCTCTACCCACATGATCTAATTGCCTTCCAAAGGCCTTGCTCCTAATCCTATCAAACCTGGGGCTAAAGATTTCAACATATGAATTTGGGGGAACACTTAAACTTTCAGACCTAGCACCCTAGTATTACATTGAAATATATATATTTTTCTGTATGCCTAGACCTGGAAGAGTTTGGAATATGCTGGTCTATAAAGTAAACACAAGGTACATACTTTCCCATTGTTCCTAGAATGATCCCAGTAGACAATATCCTGTGTCTACAACTAGCAGCCTTAACTGTTCTGCTATTGTCCAAGTTAGGGACAGAATAAATTTCTTACAGAAGTGACTTCTATACCCTCTGGAAGAAGGGTGGAGAAGAAAGGAAAGTAGAAAAAGAGGACTTAGGACACGAGGTCT